AGAATAATTACATATTTAATTTATGACTGAGACTTGAATAAAGTTTCTAACAGAACATATTGGTTGCTTGTATGTGTTAAGTACACTGAATCGTTTTTGCTGTCTTGTCTCAGATACTTAAGAAAACCAACGTAACTTTCAGGATACAAGGGCGAAAGTTGCATAATACGATTCACATTAAATAGCAGCAGAGTTGATAGACATAGATGTGCCATGATTAGGGTTGAGAAGTAGTACTTACATTTCAGTCACTCAAACCCAGCAGAAACAAGAGAGCAGATAAACGAGGTCAAAATAGAAAATATACTAAATCTCAGAACACATCAGTAACTCCCTTCCAAATCCTAGCTGGCTGCATGGTGCTCCAGGCTAACCATCCTAGCTGGCTGCATGGTGCTCCAGGCTAACCATCCTAACTGGCTGCATGGTGCTCCAGGCTAACCATCCTAGCTGGCTGCATGGTGCTCCAGGCTAACCATCCTAGCTGGCTGCATGGTGCTCCAGGCTAACCATCCTAGCTGGCTGCATGGTGCTCCAGGCTAACCATCCTAGCTGGCTGCATGGTGCTCCAGGCTAACCATCCTAGCTGGCTGCATGGTGCTCCAGGCTAACCATCCTCGCTAACTGCTCACCAGTTAAAATGGTTCAAATAAAGCTTATTTATCAATAAAACAAGATCACACATTTTCCATGACCTTTTATAAAGGAAACTAAAAACATCATGTCTTCCACATATAATTCAATAACGGTTACAGTAAATATTTGAACATAGACCTGCTAATACAGTTTTATTTTCATTCATGCTAACTACACAAGCACACACTTATAATGCCCATAACTAGTGTTCACCACACTTCATAACACCGGTAGTCAGACATCCGACATCACCTGCTGGTAATACCTCACTGACTCGCCTGTGTAGGAGTCACCTTTTGGTATTTTCTGTCCTTAAAGCTTATGCCTTATGAAGTAGCTCAAATGTAATATTTAGGTTAACCTGGAGATATGAAAATATTTTCGATTAAAAATGCAAGGCATGTTAACCAAGGTGGGGCGACTGTTTGACTTGGAGTGTCTTGTAATGCTCTCTCTCTCTCTCTTTCTCTTTCTCTCTCTCTCTCTCTTTCTCTTTCTCTCCTCTCTCTCTCTCTCTCTCTCTCTCTCTCTCTCTCTCTCTCTCTCTCTCTCTCTCTCTCTCTCTCTCTTATAAAATATTTGGCTGAATCCCAGTCTTGAAACAGGTATAATGTTTAAATTCCTCATGTTAGTGTGTTACTCACTATATATATATATATATATATATATATATATATATATATATATATATATATATATATATATATATATATATATATATATATATATATATATATATATATATATATATGTAGTACATTTTGTCACAAAGGGAATAAAACGTTTTCTTCTCTATGTGACAGTGCTATATGCAGTTCACGAAGGTGGTATTTTAAGAATGTTTCATTATTTTCGCAATAATAATTATAATAATTGTATATACGGTATATCGTATGCAAGATTAGGTATGAAGGATGTAAGTACCCCTACGAGGGTAAACGGTGGTACATGATTCATTAGCCAAAATAAAACAAAAACAGATTTAAATCAAGTCACAGCAGCCTACTCTCAGATCTATGAAAACTCAACAAATAATAATATTTAAACATATTGTAATAATTCTCTTTTGTACATTTTAAGTGACGAATGACTCGGTATTAAAACGAAATGTGCATCTTTTATGGTGTTTTAATGTCTGTATGATGCAGTTTTTTTTTTTCAAACTATGTTAGTTATGTGTCTCGCGCAACACACCTTGGTAGGCATGTGTGTAGGTCTCCCTGCAACACACGTGTTGTGGGGGTTGAGACTCAGCTCCTGGCCCTGCCTTTTAACATTCACTTGGCTAGCATTACAGGTGCACAGCTGTCCTCTTGGGCCCTACACAGACAAGCTGATTCATAATACACTTCCTCTAATTAGCACAGGTAGCACAACAAGCTAGTCCTTGTCTCAGTACTGCTATGTGTACACAGGTGTGCACAAATGCACACAGGTTTACACAGCTATACACAGGTTCGTATTTATATTTCAATACTTTACCAACTGAATGAATTTGTTTACCTTAGTGTTCTTTAAAAAAATTGTGATCTTTTTATTATCAGAATCATGCGTGAAGAAAACTTTTTAATAGCAAGATGCAATTCGCCTCACACGTATAACTTAGGTAATAATTGGCCACTTTTATCAACATATTTGACAGTTTTTATCATTGTGTGTATATATGTGTGCTTGTATTAGTGTACATGTTTGTTTATGTGTGAATGTTTTTGGCCTTGTTCATCCTGGCGTGCGTGTTTCTGACTGTGTGAAGTCTTATATATATATATATATATATATATATATATATATATATATATATATATATATATATATATATATAATCAAATGATTTAGATAAAGAAAAATTGGATATCAAATTGGGGAGGAGGAGTATGGAAGAAGTGAATGTTTTCAGATATTTGGGAGGTGACGTGTCAGCGGATGGATTTATGAAGGATGAGCTTAATCATAGAATTGATGAAGGAAAAAAGGTGAGTGGTGCATTGAGGTATATGTGGAGGCAAAAAATGTTATGTATGGAGGCAAAGAAGGGAATGTATGAAAGTATAGTAGTACCAACACTCTTATATGGGTGTGAAGCTTGGGTTGTGAATGCAGCAGCGAGGAGACGGTTGGAGGCAGTTGAGATGTCCTATCTAAGGGCAATGTTTGGTGTAAATATTATGCAGAAAATTCGGAGTGTGGAAATTAGAAGGTGTGGAGTTAATAAAAGTATTAGTCAGAGGGCTGAAGACGGTTTGTTGAGATGGTTTGGTCATTTAGAGAGAATGAATCAAAGTAGAATGACATGGAGAGTGTATCAATCTGTAGGGGAAGGAAGGCGGGGTAGGGGTCGTCCTCGAAAAGGTTGGAGGGAGGGGGTAAAGGAGGGGTTGTGGGCGAGGGGCTTGAACTTCCAGTAAGCGTGCGTGAGCGTGTTAGATAGGAGTGAATGGAGACAAATGGTATTTGGGACCTGACGATCTGTTGGAGTGTGAGCAGGGTAATGTATAGTGAAGGGATTCAGGGAAACCGGTTATTTTATATAACCGGACTTGAGTCCTGGAAATGGGATGTACAATGCTTGCACTCTAAAGGAGGGGTTTGGGATATTGGCGGTCTGGAGGGATATATTGTGTATTTTTATACGTATATACTTCTAAACTGTTGTATTCTGAGCACCTCTGCAAAAACAGTGATTATGTGTGAGTGAGGTGAAAGTGTTGAATGATGAAAGTATTTTCTTTTTTTCTTTTTGAGTATTTTCTTTAAGGGTCACCTTGCCTCGGTGGGAGACGGCCGACTTGTTGAATATTATATACATACATATAATATATATATATATATATATATATATATATATATATATATATATATATATATATATATATATATATATATATATATATATATATATATATATATATATATATATATATACATAAAATATATATATATACATATATATATATTTTATATATAAAATATAGGGGGTGGTAGGAGAAAATTCTCAAACAGCTTCAGGAAGAACCTTGAGTTTTCCCTGAAGCAAGTTTATTCTTTTCTCTGAGGATGAGGGTCCCTATTACAGTTCTAGAGGTGGTACCTCCCTATATATATATATATATATATATATATATATATATATATATATATATATATATATATATATATATATATATATATATATATATATATATATATATATATTCACAGGGAGGAGTACGAGATCGGCAAGTACAGGGACATAAGCCACCAGTATCAATTTGTCCCAGTGGGATCAGAGACCTTGGGATCATGGGGGAAAAATGACAAATGTTTCCTTAAAGAACTGGGTTCCAGACTCATCGACACCGGCGACCCAAGAGCAGCCACTTTCATGTTCCAGCGCCTCAGCGTGGCCATCCAGAGGTAAAATGGGCTCGCGTCCGGCTTCGGAGGAGCTGGAGGAGATTCATAATCTTTGATGTATTGTACCAATGTATTCATTTTTATGTTTTCTGTCAATGTATTCTGTCTATTAATTAAGTTTACATAGAATATGGTGGTAGGAGAAGTATATATTCAAACAGCTCCGGGGAGACCCTTGAGTTTTCCCTGAAGTACGTTTTATTGTCTTCTCTGAGGATGAGGGTCCCCAGTAAAGTTCTAGAGGTGGTACCTCTCTATATATATATATATATATATATATATATATATATATATATATATATATATATATAATTTTCATGGGGTCACGCCAAACCCGTGAGGATCATACAGTGCTTGGAGAACAACGGTAAGTATTCAGGATTGATCTAAAGGGAGCCTTACAACATCAAGGACGAAGGGTGGTGAGGATGAGCTGGTGCTGAGCTATAGCACTTGGGTCTCTCTAGTTAACACACTCCTGGATGACATGATCTGCCGCTATAACACCTGTATCTAGTGCGTTTTAACCTTTGCTATGTCATTTCCCTGTCAGTTGCATTTCTTTACTCTGACGTTACCTTAAGATTTTACTTAGGTCTGGCTCACTAGTATTAGTTTCCATGTGTCTCCTCGTCCCATAGTAGTGTCCTTGTCTACTACTATTTATGCCCATAGAATATATTGTATGAAGAATCAAAGTCACAGTAATGTGGCTGCAATAATTCACAGATAACCCTCACTTTTTGTAAGGAAACTATAGACGTTTCTGTCCTTCCTGGACTTGATAATAATCTAGGACGGACCGTCGCCTATTGTCTCCGATTATATGTTGTGATCTTGTCTGCGCGCGCGCGCGCGTGTGTGTGTGTGTGTGTGTGTATGTGTGTTTGTAAAGCTATACACAATAAAAACACATAATGCCCTCTGATATTTTGTATACAACAGGTCAAAACTACACATCAATCAACACAGACATTCTGACATATATTCAAAACAATAATTTCATGGCACTCAAGAGTTACATAAATAATAAAATTATCCTATTGGATACAACAATAATGTGCAGTGATAATTTACAGCTGTAAAGCAAAATTATTTCTCAGGAACATAGTATAACCCAGAAAACAATACCACTGTAAGAAGTGTGAAGGAAAAACAATTAACTGAAGGAGAAAGAATTAGCGACGAGAGGACACAGTATTAACACTCGTAAGATATTGGAAGGTAAAACTGATTCAGGGAACTGGAGTTACCCTCTTCCTTGGATCAAACCGAGTTACCTCACATTGCACAGGCGTGTATGACCCCTGACGGGCTTAGCGCTTGCGTATGAATATAATAATGGGTGAAAAGTTAAAATATAAAAAAAAAAATAATGGGTGAAAAGTACTTGGTGTGTCAGGTTTAAAACCTATCGACAGCACAAGGGTCATTAAGCCTGCAGTTCACCTGTACATCACCTATCAAGAACAGTTTAATCTCTAAATTAGGGATTAAATGAAACCCTCAGTGTATATACACCAAGCGATACACACTTTCAGGGTAAAAGTGGTTGCCACTTTACTTGTGGGTTACCACTATACATTATAAGATCCTTCATGAGCCTTCAGTAGCAACCTGTGCATCGTGTAGGAGCACGACCACATCACACCCACCTCATATATAATTTCACAATGATGGACTTGGTATGATGAGTGCCCATCATGGTCAGACTGGTTTTATTCAAGAAGTGGGTGTAGTCTGTGGAAGCTTATGTCTATACGAGTAGACTTGTAGTGGAGAACAGTGTTCATTTATAATGGAATATTATGAGGTTACGAATATATATCTGACATTAGAAATGAGAATAAAATGCAATTTTTGTGTTTGTATGTTTGAAATAAATAAATTAAATTTTAGTCTTGTGTATGAGATTATTAATCAACAATTAATTTTTTTTCAACTGGGGGTGGAAATATATCTAACAATAAATCTGCTACGTAAATTTAGCTATCCACTAGTTCAGACTTCAAGCACAGGGTTATAACAAGAGGTTGGTGTCTGTGAATGTGAGCGTTTTGAATTATCTATGTGTATCTACAGGAGCAGAGCTAAGTTCGTGGTGTCCTGCCTTCGGTATCTATTCTATAGTATGATTAATAAGTGTCGGTCTGAGTGTGAGGTAAGTTCCCGAGCACTGGTCCTCTCTCCGCTCAGCATGTAACACTTACTCAACAAGAGATCCGCCACCTAGTACCTTCAAGAACTAATATCTACTAAAACAATGTTGGAAGTTCCCTAACTAGATGTTTAGCAAAGGAACTAAGGTGGCGGCGATAAAATAGACATATCAATATATACTTTTTATAGATGGGGGAGAGAAAATATCAAGAGAGAGGTACATGTACTGGACTCAATATATAGAATGGATGGGATTTGTCTTGCAAGATGTAACAATGTGCTAGTAGTACATGTACTCTGAAAGATGTAAACACAGTTGTGATTACATGTGACACACAGCTTGGTAAACACTTCTACACTACTCGATATATCACAATTATGTACACAGGTTTAAAAAAAGTTTTATATAGGGGAAAAGCAGTATCGGCGAAGCTCTTTGGTCATCAGGGTTGTAGGAACCAACCCGTATATAAGAACATAAATATCCAACTAAGAATGAATTTATAAGTCAGTCGCCCAAAACTTTATCTTCTTAATATATATTCCAGTGGCAAGACTTTATACATGATATCACCTTTTTTTCAAATATTTTAATATATTGTGACTAAACTGAATGTAAAAGGAACGTACAGCATAAGTAAATCTGTAGGAACCAAAACAAGGCGAAGGAAAACTGAGGCATCTTCATGGTGCAGGGTTGCACGTTACTACCCAAAACTCGATTTAAAGCCAGATTTTAAGCCGAAATTTATCCTTAAATTCCTACATCTAAATACTATATCACTCTTTTGTAATGTGGATCAGACCCACAGATATCAGATCTAATATATTAAGAATAAACAAGTTATCTGTGGAACACAAATTTTGTATGTTCAGGTCATTCCTGGCGAGCCTAACTAGATCATTTTTATTAGCGGTCAATGTTTCTCACATGAGTACTAGCACTTTTTTGACCACTCTACTAATATGTAAAGTGCTATCGCTGTTTTAACCACAATGTCTATTGGTGTGTAAAGCACCAGTGCTGTTTTAGCCACACTCGTCTGTTGTGTGCAAGAGTACTAGCACTGTTGTGGCCATACTGCCGGCGTGTAGAGGAGCACTAGCGCGTGATGGCCACACTTATGTAGGATAAGTGAAGTTCGGTGGTGGAATCTAGGTTTTAACGAGTTCAGCACCACCATCAGTGAGCCGCCTTTCTCACTACGGCTTCACTGACTACACTCAACGCCACACTATGCAATTGAATATCCTCTCATATATTACTGTTTGTTTCGTTATCTTTCGGCTAATACTACTTTTTGAACAGTGGCAGCTTCAGTCATATATATACAATACTACCAATTTGTACAGAAGGATAACTTTTCGTAACGAGGTCGCATTTCTAGCACCATTTTCTCTACATGTAAATGTTCCTCAGTCAAATTGTTTTGTGTAGGCTTAAACTACCATGCCTTTTTGTATCCATATAATTTTAAAATAATTAACAAGTCAGCACTTTTGTTACAGTTCTTTCACTATGTATATAGTTGCTATGCTAATGCCAGCAACCGAGCACATTCTTCAAGGCCTAGTTTGTGTTTATGTGACGGCTACGGACTTTCAGAACTACTGTGGTGTTAAGTTTCATTGTTTACACATTTATCTTGCAGTAGAATTTATAGTGGCTGCCATGGACGAGGCCGCTACTTTCTCGTGCAGTGATCTGGTCAGGCTCTCGATTCTGCTGATGGACTCTGATGGTTTTCTTGCGTTAAGACCGAGACCTGTAAGACCACTGGTTATCCTTGACTCTGACTGTTGCCGTAGAAGTGACGGGTTAGGGATCTGACGTACACTAGTGTTGGTCGCTCTGATACTCTGACTCGAACTTGTAGAACTTCTCACAGACGAGGTGCTGAGACTTGTTACAGTAGAATTCGCAGTTACTTTGTAATTGGAATTCATGAGGTGAGGTGCTTTTGTGGTGGTAGAACTGCTGTTGGACACGGTAATGCTGTTAGTGGAAGTAGTGACGACGCTAGTGCTAGACTTAAAATGATTTTGTTTTAATTTTTGCTGCTGGTGCTGCCGTCTGACAAATTCCGCCAACTTTTGGTTAGTTATTTTGAAGACTGGATCCCCTGTTCTCTCTGTGTGATCTTTGTCTGACTTTGTGTTTGCCGGACAAGTCGTACCATTGGTTTTGGAACTGATGGATACTGTTGGTATTTTTAGGGAGGCTGCTGAGGCAGATTTTGGAATTGTTGTTCTGATGCTGCCATGATTATTGCTGCTGCTTTTACTGCTTACGATGCTACTTGAAGATTTGTGACTGTTGTGAGATTTGTTGTTAAAGTTTTTACTGAATGAGTTACCATTAACTGCCTTTGTACTGTGGTGAGACTTACTAGCAGTTTTTGAATTAGTACTTTTGCTAGATTTTCCTTCCATGGCTGTTGTGATGGGACTTATAGTGAGTGTATCTCCAGAACCATTTACGAAGCTGAGAGACTCGCTGACCTTGAGAGTTTTGAGCACCTGCGCTTGAGCTCTTGCTTGAGCTTCTGCTTGTGCCTGAGCTTGAGCTTGTGCCTGTGCCTGAGCTTGAGCCTGCGCATGCGCCATGGCCAACTGCAACTGCACTGCTGCGTGGGATAGGGTCATGAGGTCACTAAAGGCAACGGCTTGCGGGGTAACTGGCGCAGGAACCAGGGAGGAACGAGCCCAGTCCAGAGGAATGGGCGGTCTGCTGATGGGCGCCACGTTCGTTGTCGCTTGTGCAGTGGCTGTTGGTGAAACTGTGGCACTGGATGACTGTTGTTTGAGCTTTTTAGATTTTTTACTCTGGGTAATTGAAAGAATAGTTTGAGTTCCTTGTCCACGCGCTGTGCGGTTCCCAGATTTGTCTGTCGCTATCCCGTGAGACGTGCTGTTTGGCGGTGAGTCCAGACTTTCCCGCTGTGTTCGTGCCTCTCTAACACTGCGGGCATGGCGGGAGAGATCGAGGGCTCCCACTTCATCTCTTTCTTCTTCCTGTTCTCCACTATCGTCTTCATCTTCTTCATTGTCAGTGAAAACATAACAATCTTTGCGAAACATCTTCTTGTCACATTTGTACCCATAAGAGAGATTAATAGGTCCTTCATCAGTTTGAACTTGCTTGCTGGTAGATGAACGCTCTATAGTTTCCTCAGGTTCCAGCTCTGTAGACTCGGTACTGACGTTGAGGTCAGTGTCCTTGTCGTCACTGTCCATTGGCTCACTGGCACTCGTTTCTGTCACATCGATGGCACTATCTTCCTGTTCGTCATCTCCACAATCTTTCCCCGTGTCTGTTTCCCCCTCAATACCTATATTGCCAGAGTTCTCACCCTCAGGTTCAACAGTATCCACATCAGGTTCCCCGTCTGCCTCGGGCTCTGTCTCGTGACTGGTGTCGACTTCGAGTGGTGTTTCCGAGTCATGGTCAACGACTAGATCATTCGATTCTTTTGATGCATCAAAATCCTCAGCTGCCTCCATGTGTTGGTCGTCTCGTACATCTTCCACTTCTTTATCTATTGGCTCATCTTCGTCAAGTACTTCGGGAATTTCTTCATCTCGCACTTCCTCCTGCGTCTCTTGCAGTTCTACCTGTGCCTCTTCCTCCTCCAGAACGTTTCTCTCTTCATGCGCCTCCAAAATGTTTCTATCTTCCAAAACGTCTCTCTCTTCCTCCATTACGTTTCTCTCATCTTGTGCTTCGTCCTCCATAATGTTTCTCTCTTCCTGTGTCTCTTCCTCTACAGCGTTTCTCTCTTCATGTGTCTCGTCTTCTAAGACATTTCTCTCTTCGTTTGCATCCTCCAAAACATGGGTCGCTTGTTGTTGTTGCTCTTCTAGACTATCTTCCACCTGGTTATCCCTCTGTAGGTCGCCGCCTTCCTCATCATGGTGATGAGTCTCCAGCTCAGTAACAGAATGGTCTTCAGTTTGAAACTGTTCTCCCTCTCGCCCTCGTCCACCTTCTGGCGTCTCGGGCGGGGTGGGTGGGTGGGTATCCAGGGGTGGTTGGTCTCCTGGGATCACGAGAGTAGTATCCTCGCAGGCAGTTTCGATCCGGGCCATCTTATCAGGAGGTTCCAAACACTCTTCCACTGTCGTGCTAGCCTCTGGATTTTCTTGTATGTGATGCGAGTCTTCCTCTGTCGTGTCAGAGGCTGGCTGCTGCCGTCGTTTCTTCACTTTCCTTGTTGCAACAACCTGGAAGCTCAGCTCCATTGGCGACTCCTGTAAAGACAAGAAAAAATTACTCAATATTGATTATTAGAGACAGGAAATACCCAATACCGGGTCACGACACACTACTTCTGGGATGATGGAGGAGCGAGCCTCCTCAGACAAGTAACAGTTCTGAAACGTGGAGTAAGTCTTGATTATAGACGACGTTTCGTTCAGGACTGAGCTTATCTCCAAAATTATTAAAGCTCAGTTCTGAGCGAAAACATTGTCTGAAGTGAAGACTCGCTCTAGATTTCGTGTCTTCATACTAACTTTGTCTTCTTGTTGCCCCAGACACCAAGTTCTATTACTTTAGATACAAATTAAGTCACACCATAGAACGCGTGTTTTCGTAATATGCAATTTGGCCAGGGGTAAAGAACAACAAATTTCAAAGAGACACAACATATCCCTCCAAACTGCTAATATCCCGAAACCCTTCCTTTTGAGTGCAGGCATTGTACTTCCCATTTCTAGGACTCAAGTCCGGCTATATAAAAATAACAGGTTTCCCTGAATCCCTTCACTATATATATATATATATATATATATATATATATATATATATATATATATATATATATATATATATATATATATATAATATGCAATAAGATAACAGTAAACAGGTGATATCAGAATATGCAAAACAACCACTGTGAAAGGATATTGAAATTCGTGACTTCTCACATTATCAGTTTTTTGATAATGTGAGAGGTCACGAAAGCGTTTGGAATTTCATAAACCTTTCGCAGTGGTTGTTTTGCATATATAATATATATATATATATATATATATATATATATATATATATATATATATATATATATATATATATATATATATATATATATATATTATATATATATAAAGATGCCATTAAATATTTCTTGTCATATATTACCCATGTAGAAACAAATATAAAATGAAATTCATCATATGACGTTATATATTTTAAAAATATATATCATGTTATCTGCAGCATTTATAAAATATATCAAATTATGTTATCTATTTAAAACATTCATGGCATGTAAAATATTGCTTTTGGTCAACAAAATGAAATTCCCTTGATAACACAAGAACAAATGTTTACTCTGACAAGTACGCATACGTACGTGCGCGTGTGTGTGTGTGTACTAACCTATTTGTGGTTGCAGGGGTCGATTCATAGCTCCTGGCCCCGCCTCTTCACTGATCACTACTAGGTCCTCTCTCGCCATGCTCCATGAGCTTTATCAAACTTCGTCTTAAAACTATGTATGGTTCCCGCCTCCACTTACATCACTGTCCAGACTATTCCACTTCCTGACGACTCTATGACTGAAGAAATACTTCCTAACATCTCTTTGACTCATCCGAGTCATCAACTTCCAACTGTGATTCCTTGTTTCTGTGTCCCATCTCTGGAACATCCTGTCTTTGTCCACCTTGTCAATTTCTCGCAGTATTTTATATGTCATTATCATGTCTCCCCTAACAATCCTGTCCTCGAGTGTCGTCAGGCCGATTTCTGTGTGTGTGTGTGTGTGTGTGTGTGTGTGTGTGTGTGTGTGTGTGTGTGTGTGTGTGTGTGTGTGTGTGTGTGTGTGTGAGATAATTCGGACAGATATTATAAAATTGTATATCAGTACGATCTTTTTCAAATAAAACAACGCATTAGGTCGTGAACATAATTCGTTGTGGTGACCTTAAACTCGCCATCCTTGTAGTGATAGCGTGGTGCTTCCACTCACCATCCTTGTAGTGATAGCGTGGTGCTTCCACTCACCATCCTGGCAATGATGTGGTACTTGCATTCACCATCCCTGCAGTGATATTGTTTTACTTGCACTCACTATCCATGCAGTGATAGTGTGGTACTTGCACTCACCATACCTGCAGTGATAGTGTGGTACTTGCACTTACCATCCCTGCAGTGATAGTGTGGTACTTGCACTTACCATCCCTGCAGTGATAGTGTGGTACTTGCACTCACCATCCCTGCAGTGATAGTGTGGTACTTGGGCTCACCATCCCTGCAGTGACAGCCAGGAGAGTGAGAGGGGAGACGCTCACTGCTCGACCGCTCGGCCGTCCGTCGCGGATGTGCAATAAATCAACGTGATCGATTGCTAACTCCCCCTCCCTTCAACCCTAACCTCCCCCTTGGCTTCCCCTTAGTCCTGGTTTCACCCTTAGCCCGGGTCTAACCCCTTCCCTTTTGGTCTTCACCTCCCCTTGATCTTGTTTCTCCCTTGGCTCATCTTCCCCTTGGCTCTGCACTGTGTCCTTCATACGTGGTGATGCAACACACCTCTGTCTGTACATGGTGATGCACACACCTCTTGGTGTTCTACCTCTGTGTATGTACACACCTCTGGTCCCTACATGGTGATATAACACGCGTCCTGTCCTCTACATGGCGATGTAAACGCACCTCTGGTCCTCTACATGTGATGTAACACACCTCTGGTCCCTTCTACATGGTGAGTAACACACTTCTGGTCCTCTACATGGTGATGTAACACCTCTGGTCCTCTACATGGTGATGTAACGCACCTCTGGTCCTCTACATGGTGATGTAACACACCTCTGGTCCTCTACATGGCGATGTAACACACCTCTGGTCCTCTACATGGCGATGTAACACACCTCTGGTCCTCTACATGGTGATTTAACACACCTCTGGTCCTCTACATGGTGATGTAACACACCTCTGGTCCTCTACATGGTGATGTAACACACCTCTGGTCTCTACATGGTGATGTAACACACCTCTGGTCCTCTACATGGTGATGTAACACACCTCTGGTCCTCTACATGGTGATGTAACACACCTCTGGTCCTCTACATGGTGATGTAACACACCTCTGGTCCTCTACATGGTGATGTAACACACCTCTGGTCCTCTACATGGTGATGTAACACACCTCTGGTCCTCTACATGGTGATGTAACACACCTCTGGTCCTCTACATGGTGATGTAACACACCTCTGGTCCTCTACATGGTGATGTAACACACCTCTGGTCCTCTACATGGTGATGTAACACACCTCTGGTTAGTGTTGCTAGTTCCCCCTCTGCGGTGTAAGAGCTTGTCACTCTCACTAACACCCACTATTACGTATCCTGATTTCGTTGACAAGGCCACGCAAAATGAGTCTCTACGCTCGTTACACTTAATTACTTATTATTCTCTTGTAGTTTTCGGTATTTTAGTAAAGATATTTTGGTACAGTAGTTTGATATTTTGGTTCTACTAGTTTATTTTTTACAGTGTTATCTTAACACTCGTAGCCTGTTTTTGACAGTGTTACTTTTCCAGTGATAGTTTGCTACTGCAGTTCTGATAACTTGTTACTTATTTATATACCGTATATATTTTGTTGTATTGGTAAGCTCCGTGGTTATGACAGTAACCGCAGTACCTGTGCTGTCTTTTTTATTCTAAAGTGGAGAAAAAATGTCAGATAGCATCATATGCAACAACTTTGTGTAGGCTTATATATTGGTTGGACGAGTATATGATAGGACTTCCTAGCATGGGTCAGTAAGCCTTCTGGAGTGTAACTTTATTATTATGTTGCTTGCGGTGCTGTGAGTGTGTCCTCCGTGGAGGAAGTGACCTGTCTCGTGTATCTCCTTTCCTGCCGTGTCAGCGTCACTTTAAATCTTTCCCAATGCCACTGGTATTTATGCCTCATGATCTACCTTATTTACCCCCTATAGTCTCCCAGACTTAAGAAGGTAGTATAAATAAAAACGGTAAACTCGTGGGGGGTCAGTGATGTGAGACACTGTTGGATTGCATTAGTAGATTTCTCAAACTGTCTTCTGTACTGTTTTGTCACCCTCACGAATGTTGTCACCCTCGCGAATATCCTCATTTTACTACGTCGATATTTGGACGTGATACTCAGTGACTGTGCTCATTGTCAATATCTTAACTCTACCTATTTTCTTCAAATGATATTTTCTTTATTGTAAATTGGGTTAATTTAGGTTAGATTAAGTTTGATTAGGTTAGGTTACATTAATCTATAAAACGTATATTTAACTACAAATAAGAAAATTACAAAAGAAAATCGGCGTCGATACATTTGGCAACGAGGTGACCAAAGAAGAACACATAACGTTCAGATGTGAACCTTTACCACTCTTGGTGCGAACATGAGCTACCTGGGTAGAGTATGGGGCATGGGTAGTGGGTGGGTGGATTATGGGGCATGGCTAGTGGGTGGAGTAGGGGCATGGCTAGTGGGTGGAGCTTAAAGGGATGTCTCAGAAAAGGGGTCTGGGTATGGAGGCTGGTTGGTGTATGGATAGAGGGAGGTTATTATTTAATGAAATGGTCGGGGGTTTTGGGCGGAGGGTGGGAAAGGAAGTGGTGCAGGGTGAAATCGTAATCAGGGTTGAGAAGGTGGTGGGGTGAGGTGTGCAGAAGAGCTCTTGAGGTAGGGTGGTGATCGAGGTATTGGGATGTGTTGGGAGTTTGGAATGAGATTAGATTGACGGAGAGTAAGGAAATATAAGTTAGTTAGAATGTAGGTTGACATGAACCTTAAAGGACATAATTTTAAACGTAAAGTAAAATATTAAAACCACGTAGACACAATTACGTCTGGAACGAGTAGGTCGAGGTAAAAAACGTCAGCGACGTCCAAATTTGAATGTTATCACTTAAAGCAAGAAGGGCATCACACACCAACTGTCAAAATGTCATCGTCACACCACGTTCTGATAACCAACGTCGATTTTCTTACATACGTTTAGCCAAATTTTCGATATACGCTGACGGTTATGTTACACGTGAATATAAGAAATTATCATCTCACATGTCACTAAATCAATAATACATAAAGGCATTAAAAACTTTTGAAGTCAGCGTAGAAACAAGAGAGCCACCGAGTGTAGTGTCAATAAAGGTCTATTTAGTGTCACGTCACACACCAGACGGTCTTCAGCGTCAGCGTCACACACCAGGACGGTCTTCAGTGTCGGTCACACACAGACGGTCTTCAGGTCA